AGCCCCGCCTTGAAGGACCTGAACAGTGCCAGGTAAATCTTCTAGTAAAAGCAGTAATCATATGCAGTACTTTCTGATATCAGCAAAGATATACTGTGTTCCAATGTGCTCAATATGACCAGAAAGGATGTTTGTTTGATCTATTTGCATATATTTTATTTTTCCTCTTCCTCACCACTAGCAATCTGTCTCCTGACTCCCAATTCAGAGGTACAAAGAGAAAAGAATTTCCTTTTCTACACACAATAGTTTGTATTTACTCCTTTTAACAGTCAGCCTAAATGGCCAGATGGTCCTCACCTGGTGTAAAATGACATAGCTCTTGTTACTACAGGGGAGCTCTGCTGAGTTACCCCAGCTGAAGACCTAATGTTTTTGCAGTAACAACACTTCATATATTCAACAGGACCTGTCCTTGCTGTAATTATTGTCTTAACTACACTACAGAGTTTTTTCAGAAAAACAGCCGTTTTTCCAAAAAAACTTCACTTAAACCCACATTGCAATCATGTTCTTTCAAAAGAAAATCAAAAGAACAGAGGGGGTTTTCCAACATTGGTAAACCTCTTTCTACAAGGAAGAAGCCTTTTTCCCAGAAGAGGTCTTTTGGGAAAAAGGTGCATGTGGACAGGGAAGAGGAAGTTCTTTCGAAAGACGAGGAAAGAAGAAAAAGCACAGGTGCCCTGGTGGCCACTCTGTCCATAGTAATCACAGCTTAAATGCGAGAGAGAGTCCATTCAAGATCACTTTTTTGATTCACTTTGGCAGTGTGGACGCTGTCTTTCGGAAGAAGTTTTTTTAGATCTCTTCCAGAAAAGCTTCTTCTGAAAGAAACCTGCAGTCTAGACGTAGCCTCACTGCAGCAGCTTGGGGCCATGTGAAAAGCGCCTCCTCATGGCTGCTACTACTCCAATGGGCACAGATGGAGTAGGAGTACATATTTCCCAGCTGGGGGACAAACAGGCAGTCCCTGGGTTACGTACAAGATAGGGACTGTAGGTTTGTTCTTATGTTGAATTTGTATGTAAGTCGGAACTGGTACATATTGTAGGGGAAACTCTAGCCACACATTTCTCCAGAGCTCAATTTTATTCTCCCACACCTCCCTGGTCTGCTGGCGGGGGCGGGGGGTGCTAGCTTCGCGTCTCCCTGGTCTGCTGGGGGGAAGCAGCTAGTGCGGGGTTGCCTCACCCTGTTTGTAAGTAGGGATCCGATGTAAGTCGGATCCATGTAACCCGGGGACTGCCTGTATAGTAGAAGTTGTCTTTTTTTCTCTCTCTCTTTGTTATAACTGCTATAAATGCCTTATGATGTGACTTCCAGATTATTAACTGGTGGTGGTTCATATTATTATGGCTTTGATCCAAAAAAACATTTAAGTATGTGCACCATGGAATTCATTGGACCATGTCATGTGATTAAAGTTATACAGATGTTTAAGCTCTCTGGTGGAGGACCTTTGGGAGCCAAGTTTTCTTTCTGTGCTGGAAGCACTAAATAAAGAGAAAGTTCCTCATGTTACTCAGCTGAAGGGACTCTAGGAAATCTGAAGGAGTTATGCCTATAGCTTGTTTGGAAATATGGTAGGACCTTAGTGGGTGGAGTTCTTAGTGGGTGTAGATTTCCATAAGAAATCTACAATATTCAGCTTAGGTGTTGGTGTGCTAGGAAAACCTTTACTTGTTCTTGTTTGAAAAAAAAAATCTAGCTAAAATGAACACTTAGTTTCTAGCTAAAAATAGTTTCTAGCTTAAAACGGTACTAGGAAAATCTCTGATCAGGTGTGTTTTAAAACACAATATTAATTGAAAGTAACTTAATGTTTCTTTTCCTGAATGTGGGATTTCAAAGTTCAGTCTTTCTCTTTCAAAATTCAGTTTGCACAAGGATGGGGAAGTATAAATGATTTAAAAGTTGTTTTCCCATCTCAGTTATACAAACTATAATACAATTAGATAAATCTTCCCCAGATGAGTGCTTGGTGTGTTTTAAAACACAATATTAATTGAAAGTAACTTAATGTTTCTTTTCCTGAATGTGGGATTTCAAAGTTCAGTCTTTCTCTTTCAAAATTCAGTTTGCACAAGGATGGGGAAGTATAAATGATTTAAAAGTTGTTTTCCCATCTCAGTTATACAAACTATAATACAATTAGATAAATCTTCCCCAGATGAGTGCTTGATGCAGGGAAAGTTTTTAGCAGTGTTCAATTGACGCAAGGTTTTGTTTTTATAACAGCCAAACACAGCTGGAACTAAGTTGGAGAAGGTTTTTTCCCCCTTTGACAAATATTAATTTGTGACTCAACCAATTAAAAGATACTTAATGAAAGATGTTTAGAATAAAGCATGGTCGGTGACCTTACAACATATTCTAGCCCATTCTGATCTCTGCAGAAGAATTATTATGGAATATGAAGATTTTTGTAAAGCATTTACTAACGTGATTAGTATTTGTCATGTTCCTTTCTTCTTACAGTTTTTGGGGAAATTTCATTTGGCTTTAAAATTTTTGTTGTATGTGTTTACAGTGTATATATGACATGCTACGTGTTTGTACTGGTGAAGGTAAGGTCAAAGAAGATCCTCAAACAATAGCTTCTATTTTTTTAAGGCTGGCAAGTTCATCTTGTACTGTGGCTTATAGGCTTTAGAATTTTCAGGAGGAAGAATTTCTTTCCTGGCCCAGAATCATTTTGGTTTACACTGTCTGAAATGAATTCAAAGAGTGGCCTCAACCTCTGAAATTACTGAAGGATTTTGCTATCTGCTTGTTGTTAACAGCTATTAACACACAGCCCCTGATTTTTTTCCACTGCATGCTAATGCAAGAATCTACTAATAACTGAATGTAAGACAGATTTTTGTCATCCCCCCATAAAGTAGGTTGAAATTGCCTCTCTTCTTTACATTTCATTGATCATTTCCCTTCTCACTTTCATCTTCTCCTTTGTTAATCTTTCTTTAGATGTATTATTCTGCCCTTAACTTTTCTTTGGTTAGTAAATGACACCCTGGAGTTAGCCATTAGGAGATGGGGGATCTGGAACAATTTGCATAGTGGGGGTGCTGAGGGCCATTAAACCAAGTTGTAAACACTTTATCGGGGTGGGGAACCTCAGGCCTGGATTTGGTCCTGAAGGCTCAGGGCTCCTCTCAGCATTGGGGAGCCCACACTGGCACTCCAACCCCCCCCCCAGTTGGAACACACAAAATCTACTAGCCTTGGCCCCCCAGGCACTAGTGTGTGAGGAAAATGGCTTTCTCCTTCTCAGTGAGGGTTTTGCGGGGGGAGGCTTCCCACTTGTGTGCAGCCCCAACTGATTTTTCTGTGGGTCAGTGGCCTCCAATCCAAAAAAGGTTCCCCGCCCCTTCTATATATGATGGAAACCCCTTCAAGCCAGGGGGTGCTACAGTACACCCCTAGTTCCAGCACCTCTGTTAGAAGACAAGCGCATTTGTCTTTTCTTTGTTGACTCCTGACTTTTCCAAAACCTCCCATGCACCTTCCTTCAGAAGGGAAAGGCCATGGGGTTTTACCAGCTCGCGGTCTTACATTAGCAGCGCCCTTGGGAGTTGCTGGCCGAGGGGAGCTGCTAAGCCGCGACACAAGGCTGGCTTCAGGACCACGGAGAGTACCCCAGCCCATCAGCCCATGCCCAGCAGTGGCTCGCCATGCACAGCCCGGACCACGCTGCTGGGAGCGCTGCCGGGGCTAGGCAGGTGTGGAGGCGCGGGACCCCACTTCTCTGCCCGGGGTGCTGGGGCTGGGGCCCGGGCTCAGTTTCGCTACCCCATTTGGCTCTGCCGGTCAGGCGGGGACGGGCGCAGCACGGTAGCCAATGGCCTGCCGCCTCACGCTCCGGGCGTGGGGAGGGAGGTGCGGAAACTCGTTACTAAAGCCGGGGCTGGCTCAGACACTCTCCCGGCGCTCATCCTGCTGGATTGTGGGTGCCGGTTCACACTGCGAGCTGGGGTGTGGGGGGTGTGACTCCGGGGGGCCCACGCTGCTTCCTGTGGCACTGACTTAACCAGGCAGCCGGGTTACTGGACAGAAGGTAGGAGAAGCCCCCAGGGGAGGGAAGCCCCTTTGTTAATGGGATGATGGTCATGGAGATCTCCCTGCTGGGGTCTTTGAAACAGTCTCCGTGGCTGGGGGGTGGTCCCTTAATTTGGGGGGGTCCCTAATTCGGGTAATCCTTCTTCCGTGTGCGTTTTCATAGCATTGTGTGGCTCATTGCACTGCGTGTTGTAATTACGGATTATTGATTATGTGCCTGACTATACTTTATCATCATCCATTTGCTTTTCATTGTAATCTCTGCTCCCAGTGGAGGTGTAACTGCCTGCCAGTCTCCCAGTCAGTGGCCATGGATAGCATCGTCTAGGTGCTCTCCCTCTTTGCTTGAGTTTCCTATGGGGCACGGATAAAAACTTCAGAAGTGTCTGCAAAGGGAGGGTGTCACTATTTCTTACTGCCTCTTAAAGCTTCAGCCAGGTGTTAGTACAGCAATCCTTAGGGCTCAGGGGAGGGTCTCAGTGTACATGTGCCTGGAGGCATGGCTGTTACTAGAAGGAATGGCTGTTCATCTCTTCCTCCAGGTGTTTTGGCTGTACTTGTTATTCTCCCCTAATGAGAGGCTTGAACTGCACAAAGGATGGAGCACCCATAAATGTTCACAAGGTATGTGTGCAAGGTGCCATTAGTGTCTCTGTGTGTAAGTGTCCCTAGGGCCTGTGGCAGGACTGGAAAAGGAGGCACCACTAATGCCCTTGGGGTGGGGCAAAAGGAGAGTTGCCCTTAGTGCCCAAAAGGGTTGGAGGTGCCACTAATTTCCACCTTTCCTTGCCCTCTAGGCAAAGATGGCTGATTTCTTGGAAGGCTCAGGCTCTGTTCGCCGCAACCAGAGCCAGTCTGCACTCAGCCTAACCGCCAATGGGGCGTTGGCAGTGTTCTAGAGCTTGCAGCTGGTGCACCAGCTGAAGGTGCTGATCATCCTGATGTATGCAGCAGTGGTGGTGGTGGGCATGGTTGGGAACTGCTTGCTGGTGCATATCATTGTGAGGGTGAAGAAGATGCACCATGTCACCAACTTCCTGATCGGGAACCTGGCACTGTCAGATGTGGTCATGTGCGCCACCTGCATCCCACTCACCCTGGCCTACGTCTTTGAGCCCCGGGGCTGGATCTTCGGCAGTGCTATGTGCTACTTTGTCTTCTTCATGCAGCCCGTCACCGTCTTTGTGTCCGTCTTCACCCTGGCAACCATAGCTGTGGACCGCTACATTGTTATTGTGCATCCTCTGCGACATCGCATCTCGCTGCAGCTGGGTGAGTATGTGGTGCTTTTCATCTGGATCCTTGCTGGCTGCCTGGCACTGCCAACCATGGCTCACACCTACTATGTGGAACTGGGCCAGCAGGAGCTTTCTTTGTGCGAGGAATTCTGGGGGGAACAAGAGCACCAGCGGCAGACCTATGCCTTGCGCTTGCTGCTTATCACCTACCTCTTCCCTCTCCTAGCCATCCTGGTCTCCTACACCAAGATCTCCCTCAAACTTAAGTACATGGTTATGCCTGGAACTGTCACTCAGAGTCAGGCCAACTGGGACAGAGCCAAGCGTAAGAGGACCTTCTGCCTGCTGGTCATGGTGGTGGTGGTCTTTGGGGTGTGCTGGCTGCCTTTGCACACTTTCAACCTCATCCGGGACATCAACATCAGTGCCATTGATACGTATTATTTTTGTCTTGTTCAGCTGCTGTGCCACTGGTTTGCCATGAGCTGCACTTGCTACAACCCCTTCATATATGCCTGGCTGCATAGCTTTAGGGAAGAGCTAAAGAAGCTACTGGTCTGGCACGGAAAGTGGCTCCTTATGGGCAAAACATGTCAGTGAGTGTTGTCATCTGAGCTGCTACTCAGCAGCTCCTCTGGCAGGGTCACTGATCTACATTCAGCTCCACAGTATGTTATATCTGAAGTTGCAAACAAAACCAATGAGCTGTGCTATCCAAATGATTCCAACCATGGGTCAGGCACAACTTGCCAGATTCTACTTTGAAAGCTATGGACATCAGTCCTCTTTAAAGAACTTGTGTCTCTAAGGATATGTCTGCACTACGCAGCTTTTAGTGACAAGGCTGTGTCAATGCAACCCTGGTGCTTAAATCACTGTGTGTGATTGCTGTTCGTTGGTACTTTTGCTGACAAGATACTTCTACCCTCCCACAAATGACTTTCACTTTGTTGGCAGGAGAGCGCTGCTGCCAACAAAGCAGCGTTCACACTTGCACTCCATGAACAGCAAAACATTTGTTGATTAATTGCTAGTATAGACACAGTGAAACGTATTCTCTGCAGATTGTTCCTTTGGAGGTACTAGCCCAGGAGAGGGGAATTGGGATGTATGTATGTGTGTGAGTTAATGAATTCACTTTTTAGTCTTGCTACTTAAAAAATTCACTTTTTAGTCTTGCTACTTAAAATATATTAAACACATTCATAGATATTTGTTTTGAAAATCAGTGGAAATCATTTCCCCCTTCCTACCTCCTTTCCTGGCCTAATCTGGTGTATAGTTTATAAAGGAAATGGATGCAAGGGACATCTTAGTGAGATGTTTCAAAAATTCCCCAAAAAGAAGATTCAATAAATAAGAATGGAACAAATAAGTATGGATCCCTACTCTGAGATGCTGTGTCTCTGCAGCTTCCTCTAAAGAGGCTCAGAACCTTTCCAAATTGGTGAATACATTATACAATTGGTGATAACTGTTTTGGTTCCCTGGAGATTTCTTTTTTAAAAATCTGGGAATGTTAATGGTCAACATGCTTTCCTATTTTGTGCACTTAGAAAGATTCCTTTGTAATCTTCAAGCGAGTTTATATTCTCTATTTCTTGTTTTAAAATAATAAAACTATCATTGGTCTGAAAGGCCCTGCTATAGGTCAGAACAGAAATGATTAACAATGAAGGCCAGAGGGTCTTATTTCTCAACCAGATCCAGAAGAGGTGAGGACCCTGGACATGGCATTTCTGGCCTGTATTGCCAGCTCTGCAACTAACCTGCTGGGGAAATCACTTTCACCTTTGCATCTGCTTTTGCACTATTTAAAACAACTTCCTGCCCTCTTTAAGATCTAAGGATAAAGAGTGTGGCATAACTATTAGTTCATACCAATACTTGATCTCATGCCGAGACTGCAGCCAATGATCCAAAGTAGTATCAATGGTGATGAAACCTTTTAGTACACCTGTGCACTAGGAACTAGTTTGAGACTATCAATTTATTTTACATATGCCACATAAGAACAATCAACGTATTAACTCCAGATTCTCTTGCCCCATTAGATATGTACAATTGAAGTGGATTTGAAAGATTCCATAACCAGTCACCCAAGTTCCCTCTACACTGCATGGCAGCAGAGCTTCACCGGTGTTTAATCAGCCCTGCCTAGAGGCTCAGGGCTCAATGCACTGAGCTGACTAATTGGGTAGGGCTGATTAATCATCTGTGAAGCTGTGCGGCCACTCAGCTTAGAAGGAACATTGCCAGTCAGTCGCTAATATTCTGTCTTTTTTTCCCCCTTTTCTTTTTCCTCTTCCTCTTTCGCTTTCTCGTTTTTCAATCTCTGATACAGCATGAAGTATCCTCTCATTCATGTCTAATGTATTCGCTGTTTTGTCTAGTTGTGAATTAGGACAACAAACATCTACAAATTTTTGTGAGATTATACACTGTCATTTAAATATGGGCATTGTTAATTAACCACAGAGACTCAGATTGTGAGCTGAATCTGAAATCAACAAAGCTGGACTTGGTCACAGAATACATGGATCCCATGATTTTCATGCTTTTAAAATAAAAAAAGATGGCATTTTCATCTATTCCTTTGTTTTGCTAGTGCTGAGTTGATGGGTGGGTAAATCATCTCAACAAATTTCACTACCCTGTTACACTGTGACAGTAGTTCTCGTATTGGGGAACAGGAATTCAGAGCAACCCAGAGGTGGGACAACAGACCAGATAATCATAGAATCCTAGAACACGAGAACTGGAAGGAATCTTGAGAGGTCATCAAGTCCAGTCCGCTGCCCTCACCGCAGAACCCAGCACCATCTAGAATAGCAGAACTATATTGTTGCTAATTCTCAAAATGGTCGTGGGATAACATACTGGAAAAATCATAGGGTGAGGAAAATTGCCAACTCTACAGTTTTAGGGCCAATTTTTAAAACCAGCTTCTGTTTTGGTATTTATAATGAACTGAAGCTGGTGTGGTTTCCTATTGAACCAGCCTACACAATCTTGAATGCCCTTCTGATGCTTTATCCAAATTACGTAAATCTTGGAAGAAATTTGTAACCTCTTCATTTCCCACCATGAATGCCTGATCTCCTTACTAGTTGAAGATTTATAAAGGTTGCTGGGAACTGAGCCCATAGAAGGCATTTGACACTGCAGTGAGTCAAACAGCATGGTGCATGGCTGCTGATCATCATCTGCTGCCTCTGCATAAACCAGGGGAGTGGAGATGCATCCTAGGATCCTGGTGATGCTCCAGTCAGGTCAGCTCACCATATGATCAGAGGGTAGAAGAAAGCTGGGACTTCACGGGTAGTTGAGTGACTCTTTGTGAAGGGGACAGGATGAAGGTTTCTTGGTGGGTTCAAATTTTGACTGATCTAGCACTCGACTCGTCTGCCTTCTCCCTTTAGCAATGCTCTGCTCCCTTACCCACCATTTTCAGGTGGGCCTGAGACCTCTTACAGCCTGTGACACAGAGAGAGAGAGAGAGAGTCTGGTTTCTTATGCCACGTGGTTGGGACTTGGCAGGCCTTTCCCCTTCTTTGCCTTTTCAGGGATTGGTCTGGTGTTCCCTTTCTCCCTCACAATGTAGCCTGGGAGCAACCATTAATATAAAGGGAATAGACTTTACCATGGGGTTACAGCACTCCTGGCATGGGTCTTAGCTATCAACCAGGGAGAGGAAAACAGATCCCATATCCAATCATTTCAGAAGCCCTGTCCTGTGAGGGTGCATGGTCTGGTAGCTAGATCACTGGAAGGGGACTCAAAAGATCAGGGTTCTACTATTGACTTTACATGATCTTGAGGCAGTCACATCCCCTTTCTGTTTCTCTTCCCACCTCATGATGGATTAATACCCAGGGCCTGCATCCAGGGACCCTAGCCAAATTGGAGGCCTTTGACAGTGGCTCCAACTCCCTCTGGAGCCAGCAGGCTCAGTGGCCAATGCTACAGGGGTGCCACTATGTTGCATGTCAGGCTGTGCCTGGGCTGTTTTCACCACAGGCAGCCCCTGCATTCTATCTTGGCCATCCCTGTAGCAGCCTTCCCCATATTAACTCCTCCGCCAGAGAACCTTTTGACGTCCACTTGGGTGGGGTTGCTTCCCCGCAGTTTGCACTCCATTGTCCTATGTAATATATTTATTACAGGATTGTCTGCAAGCAGTATCTTTGGTGTGAGATTGAAAGTGCAATTGGCCTGACGTAAGTGACTGACCCTTTGAGGCTGGGATTAATCTAAATATTGCTGTGATTCTTGGTGTAAGGAACCATCTATCACAAAGGCAGGTTTGCCTAGGTAACAAGATACGTCAGAGTACCCCGGGGGAATGTCTGACTCCATTGTAAGGCTGCTACAGTGCCTGAGGAATTCATACTTGATAATTGGTTGGAGACATTAAAGTATAGAATTGACAGGCAGCTTGGGGCTGGTGTTTTGATTCTTAATAGTCTGCCCTGAGACAAGTACTCACCCTCTTGGGTCACTGCAGGTCAGCTTGACAAAGTAACTAAAAATACAAATGCAAAACCAAACAAAAAGTGATTTATTAGACGTTTACATCATGACTGATAAAACATTGCACCTATATACACCTGTCATCAAAAGATCCCAAACCTGGTATTAGCTGATGGTGTCTCACAGCTCTCCTTCCACTCATTTACAGCCCATAAAGCAGGTACTGTATGAAGTATTCTCATTGTGCAGAGGGAATGGAAAGTTAATAGCACCATTTTACTGAGGGAATACAAAGGAGAAGAAAAATGAATGGCACCAATTTCAAACTTGGGTGTATAATGCTAGGTGCATCTAGCTTTACCTGAACCATGCGCTGCCCCACTAGTAGAACTGGAAACTGGAGGGCTGGCAAGGTCCCTGCTTTATGGGGTGCACCTACAAATATACAATAAAGAAGGATCTGGGTGAATATTTTCAAAGTAGCCTAAGGGATTTAGACACGTGTCTTCCACTACATTAATGTGTCTACATCACAAGAGGACTTTGAAAAACTTAACTGTGATTTCTGCCCCGAGGTGCTTATTCAGTCAGAAAAATCCCGATGAGCCAGCACTTCTGCTGGTGGAGACTGGACTTCTATGGAACGACGCTGCTGACCAGTGTTAGATGTTAACATTAGGGATGTAAAATCCTGTTTAATTGGGTAACCGATTAAGGGGGAGATGAGTGAGGGAGACACCCTCTGCCTCGTCTCAGTCGGAGCAGCCTCTGCCTGAAGGGCCCACCACAGATAGAGGTTGTAGGACCCCAGGCCTGCCACAGGCAAGGGATACTCCGGGGTGTCCCCCATCCTCCCACCGGGTAATCTTAAACAGTAAGACTTACCTGTTAACTGGTTAAACCTTCACAGCCCTAGTTAACACCAGACAAAAGGAAAGAAGACTGAAGGTACAACAGGGGTTATGATTAAGACCAGGAAGGCTATATTTATTTAGGAGAAGCAAAATGCAGGACAACGTAGCACTTTAAAGACTAACAAGATGGTTTATTAGATGATGAGCTTTCGTGGGCCAGACCCACTTCCTCAGATCAAATAGTGGAAGAAAGTAGTCACAACCATATATACCAAAGGATACAATTTAAAAAAAATGAACAAATATGAAAAGGACAAATCACATTGCAGAACAGAAGGGGGATGCGGGGGGGTGGGAAGGGGGAGGAAGGACCCACTCTCCCTACCTTTAATATCAGCAATTCACAGACACTTACCTTCCTTCCTCCCCTTCCCACCCCCCCGCACCCCCCTTCTGTTCTGCAATGTGATTTGTCCTTTTCATATTTGTTCATTTTTTTTAAATTGTATCCTTTGGTATATATGGTTGTGACTACTTTCTTCCACTATTTGATCTGAGGAAGTGGGTCTGGCCCACGAAAGCTCATCATCTAATAAACCATCTTGTTAGTCTTTAAAGTGCTACGTTGTCCTGCATTTTGCTTCAACTACCCCAGACTAACACGGCTACATTTCTATCACTTTATTTAGGAGTATACTCTCCCAAAGGGCTGATTTATTATAATTAGACTTTTGAATACTAAGACAATACCAAACTAATACCATCCTGTGCTGAATTTTCAGAAGACAAATTCTTTGATGTAGAAATATTTAGAGGCTTAAACCCCATTGTGGAAAAGAAGAAATTCCCATATAACTGGGCAACTGTAAGGAAGTTGATAAGAGTTCGGGATACTAATCAGTAGCTTTCATTTTTCCTCAGCTGATGAATCCATGCAATGATTATGAAAGCTGGTTCACTGGTTAGGGTACTAACCTATGACGTGGAGGCTGTGATTCCGTTTCCTGCTTCATCACAAACTTCTTTTGTGACCTTGGGCAAGTCACTTAGCCTCTGTGTAGCTCCGTACCCAAACTGTAAAAATCAGGATGATGATGCTACTTCATTGCTTAGCATGGGGTATTATGAGGATAAGACGGGGATGTGCTTTGAGATCTACTGATGAAAAAAATTATATAACAGCTACTTTTGATTATTAGCTCTTTTCAAACCATTTTAAATGCGTAAAATATATAACATTGTGATAACTCTATTCTATCTCTAAAACATGTAAATATCATGGAAAATAGCACGGGCATGTGGCAGGATTTTATTTTTAAATGAAAGTACAATAGCTTTTTTAAAATGTGCACTTCATTGCTATTAAAATATGCATCCATATTCATAACTTTTATTCACAATCCAAGTAGCTGAGTCCCTCTAGTGGCATAAATTCAGCATTTTAGTACATTGCATTTAAAAAACCCAGTTGTATCAGTGGATTCAATGCTAGCACTTTCTGAGGCTCTCTAAAGGACTACTGAAACCTGATCTTGGATCACACACTGTCTGTATCCATATTAATGAGTATAAATTGATTTATAGCCACTTGTCAGCAAGTATAGATGCACTGGAAGAAACAGGAAATTCAGCGAATGAGTGATACTGATATGCTAGAATTCTAATTGCTATAACTAAGAGACACAGTGTGAGGAGTAACGTAATGCCCAGGATAGCCAATAGGGATATAGGCTTATAAAAAAATGTATTGTGAGCAAGGAGCGAAGTGTGTTAAGTGTACTGGTCTCTGCTTATCTTGTAAATGCACATCTCTCTCACTCTCTCTTTCATGGATATTTGGAAGACGGACATCTAAGGCACCAAAACTGAGTTGGCATCCTCAGGAAAATCAAATAGCATGAAAATCCCACAACAGTAAGTATTCATTGTGTTAAATGTTTAGTAAATTGTATGGCTTTAATAGCAAATAAAAGAACTTCAGTGGCTATCGATTGCAGCTGATCTCTCCATTTAACCGTTTAATGGAACGCAGCCTCATGAGGTTTGTAATTTCACCTTTGCCTTTCCAGATGACTGTTTATTATCCATATGGCGGCAATCTCTGGACAGTGAACAATCCATTCATTATCAAGGCTGATTGAGAGCAAATGTGTGTGCAGCGGTGACTACTTAACCCTGCTGACAGCAAACTACAAAGAAGGAAAATGATGAATCCGGACAATTTAACCTCCCTAAGCTTCCTCTCAGCCATTCATAGCAACACTAGCAATTTATTCTCAGGGCTCCAGTTTGTTCAGTCTTTCAAGCCACTCATCATCCCATGCTACTCGCTGGTGGTTTTTGTGGGCATCATTGGGAATTATCTTCTCATTTATGTCATCTGCAAGACGAAAAAAATGCATAATGTCACCAACTTCCTGGTAGGCAACCTGGCTTTCTCAGACATGCTTATGTGTGCCACCTGCGTGCCCCTGACGCTGGCATATGCCTTTGAGCCCAGGGGATGGGTTTATGGACGTTTCATGTGTTATTTTGTGTTCTTAATGCAACCAGTCACCGTGTTTGTGTCTGTCTTCACCTTGACTGTCATAGCTGTGGACAGATACCATGCCATGGTGTATCCTCTCCGGAGGAGACTCGCGATACCAGTCTGTGCTTATATTCTGGCTGCTATCTGGCTACTGAGTTGCATCTTGGCTGCTCCAGCCTTGGTCCACACATATCATGCTGAGTTCCCAGAACTGGACTTCTCCATCTGTGAAGAGTTTTGGTTCCATATGAAGAGGGACCACTTAACTTATGCCTATAGTACTCTCATCCTCACATATGTGCTGCCTTTAATGGTCATCTCTGTGTCCTATCTCCGGATCTCTGTCAAACTGAAAAATCGAGTGGTTCCAGGCAACATCACCCAGGGCCAAGCTGAGTGGGACAGGGCAAGGAGGCGGAAAACCTTTCGCTTGCTGGTGCTGGTGGTGGCTGCCTTTGGCATCTGCTGGCTGCCACTGCACATCTTTAACGTGATAAAAGACATGGATATTAACCTAATAGATAAACAGTATTTTAACCTCATCCAGCTGCTGTGCCACTGGTTTGCTATGATGTCTGCCTGCACCAATGCCTTCCTTTATGCCTGGCTGCATGACAGCTTCAGGGGGGAACTGAAGAAGATGTTTGCCTGGCGGAAAAAGAAGATTGGACCTGCTACTAACTGCATTATGGCCAGTGTGACGCTATAAGTGTGTGTGTGTGTGTGTGTGTGTGTGTGTGTGTGTAGGACAGTGTGTGTGTATAGATGTGTGTGTGTGTGTGTGTGTGTGTGTGTGTGTGTGTGTGTGAGAGAGAGAGAGAGAGAGAGAGAGAGAGATTTGGTTACAATGTATTTCCGTTCCAGTGATGTGTGAAGCTATGTCAGCACTAGAAAACATAGATTAGTGTAGCTCTACCAAAGCAACTGCACGGCTGTAAGATCTCTCATATATATCTGCTTCAAGTGGACTGGAGAGAGCTCTCCTGTCAAAATAATCCATCCTCCTCACCCTC